TTACAGTGTTACAATACGAATCAAAACGATGGCCAGATCCTTCCAGGTTTATCCAGGTTTAAGAAATTTTATTAATTCACGTTTTCTTCCGTGAATTATGGAGAAAAAATATAAACTCATTATACAAAGCTGCCTACAGTAATAACACGATTATCTATAAAAAGTGTAACTGAACAAAAGGACTGGTAAATAAATAATCCGTATTGGTACAACCGTATTCACATAATCATTTAGTTGAGACTCAAAGTGTACAAACGAGGTTTTAAATTAACTGCCCATTTTCACCATTGCAATATTTCGTAGGGTTTCTGGATCGGGTCCGTTTTATTTATAATTAAAAAGGTCGGACATTCCATTCGTTCTGGTAATCGAGTGCCGTTTTATTATCCTGGATTAACAAGTTACGTGTGAAGACTAATTGATGAGAGTCGCACTGCGTGAACGACTAATAGCCTGGACGTTTTTTTCGACGTGGACATATTTACAAAAGCTGAAGTGTTTAATTAAAATAAAAACAATGATTATTGCAAAGATTTTAGTCTGCTGGTGGCATATGTATGTTCAAATATTTGTTTTCTAATAGTAATCGGTTGGCTTAAGAACTTACTCTAACTTCTAGGTCGATTAAATTTGATCTAGGTAATAAATCTGAAAATCTCTTGTTATGTCTGAATTCAGCACTTTAAGCATATCCTTTTCCACGCAATCCATCACATTCAATCCTTAAAACTTATTATGTCATATTTAAGATTTTAATTGATGAATATGATAAAACTAAAGTCGTGTCATTGTAATAGTGGGGGAGTTTGCCGAGTCACGGCAGCGCTGGCAGCCGCTAGCATTTGATTAATATTAATCTTGGCCGGTCGCTTCCTTGCGCTTCGTTTCCTTACTGCAGGGCACGGAGCAAATCGCTGTAGAAAAATTAAATTGAAACTTAAAAGCTCATTTTACTTTGAATTATAATTTAAAGCCAAAACAAATTACTTAGCCTTTATGGCATATACTCATGCGGCCGAATACTGGACCAATCTTAAACTGTCCGCTTCGTTTTTTTCTTTTTAGTATTGAATTAGTTTAAAATAAAACGTTATCAGTTGTGAATTTCTATTGAAGAAGAAGGCTTCACATATTGCTTTTCATTTGCGACCCGCGTGCGCGGTGTCGGTGACCCAAAAACTAACAAAACACAACAAATACGCTAAGGTAATATGAAACAGCCGAACCGCTCGGCTTCGGCTCCCATAAATAATGCATTGCCGTATACATTATTTAAGCTTTCGCTGAAAGAAGCAATGTTAAGGAACTTACAAAGAATATTGAAGACCTATATCAACTTACGTATTGTTTCATTACGTGAACGCTTCATATACATAAGTAATATTCAAAACATAAGGTCTGCATTTCGTTCATCATCAATTTTCCCTTGTTCCTACAGAAGTCCTGTACAGTATGCTCTGCTTTAACAGCCCATCCACACATTATTCGGTCTTCCTTTCCCCGTGACGACATTTAATCTAAATAGCCAAATAAAATAATTTTAAATGTGGGAGAATGTTACTAATGATGCTGTTTTCTTTGTTTCAGATAATGCTCGCAGTTTTTTTTAAGATACGTATGCCTTGAGGCAAGATGAAGATCAAAAGGTCCGTAGACGTGAGGCTGATAGCCCTGTGTACCACGTGTATCCTGCTCCCGGCAATAGCGTGTCCGTCGCAATGCGTCTGCAAGTGGAAGAATGGCAAAAGATACGTTGAGTGCACGGAAAAAGACCTAAAATCAATACCCTACTCGTTAGATTCAGAAACGCAAGTTTTGGATTTCACAGGAAACGATCTGCAGATTCTGCAAAAGGAAACATTTCACAAACTCGGATTGCTAGACTTGCAAAAAATTTATTTACAAAGATGTCGTTTACAAAAGATTGACAGTCATGCTTTTAAAGGCCTCGCTAATTTAGTTGAATTAGATTTATCTAATAACTATCTGACAGTGATACCGTCACCGAATTTCATTTACTTTCCAACTTTAATGAGACTGTCTATGAATAATAATCCTATAACAGTTATTAGAACGCATTGTTTCCAACATTTATCATATTTGAATACTTTAGAAATGATAGGTTGCAAGATTGAAACTGTAGAAATAGAAGCTTTCTCTGGATTAAAACATTTAGAATGGTTGAGGCTAAATGGTAACAGGCTTTCGAATATTCAAGGAGAAAACATCTTTCCGGATACTTTACGAGGTATCGACCTGTACAATAATAATTGGAACTGCGATTGTCATATAAGAGACTTGCATAAATGGTTGTTAAATTTTAATATGCCCCACGTTATTGAACCGATTTGTTCGCAGCCAGAACGATTAAGAAATCGTACTATCACGAGTATTGCCAGATTTGATTTAGCGTGTTTGCCGAAATTGACACCTGCATCAATATTTATTGAAACAATGTCTGGTAATAATGTCACTCTTGAATGTTTTGTTAAGGCAGTGCCCGAAGCAAAACTGCAATGGCTGTACCAAGGTCAAATAATACGTAACTATTCCACTTATTCAATGGACCCACATCATGTATTTTATGTGGAGACTGGGAATGAGGACAAGAAAAGTGAATTATACATTTACAACATAGGTAGTGATGATAACGGAACATATTCATGTATTGCTGAAAACTCAGCCGGACGAACTAGAGCGAACTACACATTGAAAATTCTCGTTAAGGAAGAACCGGTAGTTATTGTGGTAACATTTCCGCATAGACATTTAGTAGTTATTATCACGGTGGTATTTGTGATTATAGTGTTATTGATAGCGATTATAGCTGTAGTACTATTAAAGTTCAAGACAGATACAAGAAGCAGGAAGAAGAAAGAGAGCGGTAAAGACGTAGCATTATGTAATCAGATGTTACCTTCAAGCAGAAGCAATGGATCTTTACCCAAAAATAACGGGAGTTTAATAGTGAATGCTCATTCCCATCACGCGTTGCATTACACCGTGCAGTCAAACCGTGATTACGAGCCTAGCGATACGTATCAAAGCAATAACATGAAAGGCTTTGCAGACAGAAATCCTGACCTAATTAGTGATGCAGAAACTGTCGCTAACAACACGCAAAATGAGAACGCGGCGATGTCTGTTTATAAAACACAAACAGCGAATGATACTTTTGAAGAGGAAACAGCGTTTACGACGACTGCAGCGCCCCGACAAGTGACTTGGCAAGATCAACAAAACATAAACGGCATGAGTATGCCACAAAATGCTTTATATCAACATTCTGCCGACGTACATTTAAATCCGGGATGCTTTTTAGACAGTGAAGGCTATCCTTACGATTATGGTCTTCCAAAACACCCTTGTCGTACTCCAATTATGTCAAATTATTCTGTAATCGGACCCTTTTATCAGACATTGCCACACAATAGACCCAAGGGTCAAAAGCTGGCATGCAAATTTGCAAAGGATAATGAATTCAACACCAATGCTCCAACTTGTGCTAATTTCGAAGTATTTAATGCAAATAATGTGAGACGAACTCTCGAAGGTTATCCAGTACCGAGGAACCGGCAGATAGCGTTCGTTGGAAATGGTACAGTGTATTATAATGAGGAGTTTGTTCCGTCGCCCCCTGAGGGGTACAAAACTGAACCTATACCATGCTGTAATCAAGAACCATGCACTTCTTGGGTAAGTCCAAAAGGAACATGTGCTGTGATGGTTCCAATGGGTGTGGCGGAAGCTCCCGGTAGATGCTACCAGGTAGAGACTAGATGTGTTGATACTCAAACAACTGACGCCCGTATTCCAGTGGACAATAGTGAAAGTGTTCTTAAGCCCCTACCACAAGTGTCGAATGCTAAATGTGCATCTGACATTTGTTCAGAAAGTCCCGATGAGGGTTACGTGGGAGACGCTAACGATATCTGACGACGGCGTCAAGATAGTACATAAAATGGAAATTTAGACATTAATAGAGTGATAAAGCGACTGAGTAAAAATATAGAATAGAGTTAATATTAGGTTAAAAGGGAAATCAACGGTTGATATCTCGATGTACAGTGCACAATTTTTAAACTAGTGAGCTGGTTACTTTATTAAAAATTGTTTGATTTTTAGTTTAGATGCCCCCGGTTGCTTGAATAATATGTTTGTGTTCACTAAATTTAATATTGGTTAAGATGTTTGGTTGTGGTATTTTTAAGTCAGTTTTTATTCAATAATAAAAATGTGAGAATGAAGTTAAAGTGACGCTGAGTGGGAAAAAAACGTTTACACAAGGGATGAAATGTTAATTTTTAAACACACATTTGTGTATAAAACATTTATATGTGGCCTAGAAAATAAAATTCTGGCCTAGACAGAATTTTCAAATGTTATTTCTAAACTTGAGTACATTGTGAATATTTTGGATGAGCAAATCCATAAATAGTCAGCATTCTATGTTTTTAATTATTATTTTTATATCTAACAAAAATATTATTAGGGAATGATAACAATATTCCCACCAAGATGATACACTTGTTTATTATTTTATTGCTTTGTGCATAGTTTCTTTGTAAAAAATATAATATACTCTGTTACCACTTACTGGTTTCCTATACTTTTGATAACGTGCCAACTATAGAAGTAGTTTTCCATTAAATTATAAATAAAACTGTAAAACTTTATTTGGATAGCACAAATAAAATTTACTTAGAATTAATTAAAAAAAAATTGGAACGTACTTTTTAATATTTCTAAATTCTAAGATATAGTTCTATGACACCAATGCTAATGCATTTAATTTATATCTAGGTCCGACTTGCTCATTTACACTCAGTATTAAAACCTTGGCTCATTAAATTAATAATTTTTAGTATTATTATTGGTTTTTTACCTGGCCGTATACTATTTAATATAGCTTTTCTCGTATACTTTAGGTAACTTACACATATTTCAATTAATTGTTGACAAAAGTATTTTTTACATTATAAAATCTTTAGTGGAGATTTCTTTGTAATGTGCAATAAATTTTGTACTTTTCAGCTTTCATCTATGATTTATATTTATTTTGTCTGTTTATATCGATGTCATTGTAGAAATTAATGTAGTTCAAAGATGAAATGTTATTTTTTTACATTACCTGTTTATTAAAACACTCTCATATTAAAAATTATCGTTTTAATTCCATTCTTCATTCATACGGTTTATTTTGGTAAGTTTTAATCGTAAGTAACTTTTTACATAATGTAGTACGTTGTGTATAAATTGTGTACATTACGTGTATATATTAGATACATTTCCGGAAGGAATCGATTAGCGAATAATTTTAATTTAAATCGATATCAGGGTATCTCCCTATATACTCGTATGTATTGAGTGTTTATATAACATTTATTTTATGACAAAATAACTAGGCAACAACCATACGAACTATAGAAACAAAACAATTTATTTTAAGTCCGCTATAGACGTTCTTATCTAACAAGATTCGAACAGTTCAGTTAGAACTTTCCACATATTTTACTTTATGTTTTTAAAGTTATTAGAACTTTTAGTCGTATTTATTTAAGTGTGAAGTTCGAATGATTTAAGCAGTCGAGCACGCTTCAACAATTCGAGATGTGTAATTTCAACCCGAATTCTGGAAAGAAAAGTTAACACTTGGCACGCGACGCTAGCGATACTCAAGCGATTCGAATACATAAAGTTATTTGTCATTTGTTTAAGTTATTTGAACTGTGAAAGTTTTGTCTGAAATAAATGTTAGAAAAACGCGGTCACAGGGAAACATAATGCATAATATTATGACACATCTTTTTATATGCGAATGTAATGATTTTATTCTTTTTCATAAAACGAACGTAGCAATAACGAAATCTATTTATAATGTGATCGACTTCATGTAGTATTCCTAAGGTTCCTGGACACTAGAAATAGGTGAGGATGCATTTGTGTAGTATGGTGGAGGTGACAAAAATAATAAAAATCATTAAACATTGGACTGTCATTTAATTTGTCACAAATATCAGTTAAAACTATAATAATTAATTAATTTGGATTATCAAAACGTGTTTAGTATAAAAAGCCAAGACTATTACTACATCAATGAGATGCACGAACGACGTTCGGTTGTCTAATTTAGTACAAAACAAAATTAAATTTACAGTCATTTAATTTTGTAACATAAAACAACTTTTATCAGTAGATTTTGCTCTTGAATTTTTAAGTGAAACCTTAATATAAAATTAATAATTTTACAACATTTAACACAAATGTATTATTACGTTCATCATCTTGAGATAAACGAAGCCGTTGTTTGCTAACGATCGTAAACACTCAAACTCCATTAAAATTTATATTACAATATGTTTTAGAACTAATCACACACCCTGTATCTACTATAGGGTGTTAACTGCAAGTTTAAATTGTTTTGTACGAAATAAATTTGACTTTTTTGTATACAACAGACTGGAATAGATTTTCTCTAAATTAATAGCACAATGATATCACGATGTAAAATCTTTAGTGAAAACAATTGTAGAAGTGCATGAGTTTGGAATAAAAACGTATTTTTATTCTTGTCTTTTATTTGATTTCACCTAAATTATGTTTATTAAACAATTGATATACATTTGTTATCAGAAAACCTTTAAGAAGTAACATTATTGCAACATTTATTTTTTTCGTACACTGAATATGCAGCACATTTGCAAGTCATTGGCTTTCTTTAAAGATAAAATTACTAACTTAATTAAATGTAGATTTGCTTTGTACATTTACTTAGGTATTGATAACAAAGCAGTATAATCCAGTCTGGAATATGTATTTATCACTTTACATAATTAAGATTTGCCGCAATCCCTAATGTTTGTATTAAATTAATTAAATCCGATCGACTGATGTTAATCGACAGTTTCTAGTATCAAAACTATTACGTTCGGTTCAATGATTGTTCGAGATGTGATCAGGTTCGTAATGTAATTAAGTACTTAATTAACTATATTGTTTTTATAGCATGACACACGAACCGGCGGCCATTGAAATTCACCAAAATAGTGAAGTAACCTCTATCCATAGACATCCACAATTGCAGTTCCATTATCTTTTATTTAACAAGAGGACAGACAGTAGGAGGATATTTCCCTTACCTATGCGTCCCATCCCTCCAAATGCACTTCTCCTTTTTATTTTTTCCTTGTACGTTAAGAGTAGAAATCAAGACTAAAGGGAAGAAGAAGTGACCACTTTTATTCGTCTAATTTCTTGGGATTGCAATAAAATATTAGCTATATTTAGAGGAACATTTATATCTGGAATGTTGTAAAGTATTACTTGGACTCATTGATTTCTAAAGTAGGAGTTTTTCGTGAAGAAATTTCCCCTTCGACTTCTGGCGAGGGCTTTGCTTAGCAACGCCCTTCGACCAAATTGAGTTAGATCACGAATGACACGTTATTTATTTTACTTTCGAAGACGTCGTCTTAAAGACGTTAAGTCTGACTTTTAATGTAAAAGAATTGTTCCAATATTTTCGATTTACAAATATAATTGTTACACGCGGACGAAGTCGCGAGGAACAGTTAGCATACAAATAAAATTAATTATGTTATACTCCTGCGTTAGTTACATATTAAGCTTGACGTTAAAGAGGATACCACTGCTAGAAACTTGTACGGTAAATTTTTATTTACAAGAAGTACGAGAAGTCTACTAAGATTTAGTTTTATGAATAAAAGAATGCAAGCTGTCTTTGTATTTTTAGAGTAATTCTTATGAATGCGTTCTACAAAGATATAACTTGATGGTTTCGCTTAAATTTATTCTTTGTATCTGGGATGTTGAATTCAGAGTGAGCCACTCGACTACAATGCGGTAGTTATTTTGGCACAGAAACGGTATCGAGCGCTAATGTATCTATTGTTCTTTGCAGATGCCGACGCCAGCATAGGAACAGCGAAACGGCATATATTTTTACGTTTCGAAATAGATTTCTCTGATGTATATCTGACTAAAGTGGCATGTCTTACTCTGCCAAAATGCATATATCTGTATGAAGTTGATAAGAATTGTGCTCGTACAGTGATGAAATATAGAACTTTAGTCAAATAGTTATTTATTTATTTCTTAGCTTTTAAGTATTCTGAAGTTAATGCGAAGCTAACGATGTCTTTCCTTACTTAAGAAGCCTTTGTAACGACTGCTTAGACATGGTGACGTCATTCAATCCCCGCGGTGCTACGCTAATGATAGGATGTTTTTATTTTATTTACAAAGTTTTTTCTTTTTAATTGTTTTTCTAACTTACCAATTAGCACTTAATTTCATTTTATTATCACTCAAAGAACTAGCTAAACCTAATAATATATTTACTCCGTAAACCAAATACTAACCAGAAATTTGGATGTAATAAATTACTAAATTAATTAGTTAAAATATACTTCGTAATGAAACACTACAGAAATTAAGCACGAGCTCTAAAAACCGCACAAACAAAGTAGAGAGCAGGGTTCGTTAAAAATGTTTCCAGACGAACCCGACAGTACTCAGTCACGCGTGACAGCTGCGAGTACTTACATACAAGTTGCTGTTAATTTTTATATAAGTTTGCGTCCGGAAAATATGCAAACCGAACCTACGGTTGCAGTGCAAATAGTAGTCGCGTTTTATCGTTCTAGACACAATTGTATAGATATAATAGACAAATAGATTATATAGATTACGCTAGATTGATTTTGACAGTCGTAGTGTCCGCTTTAACATCTTAGCACGAATAGGCCGGCACGCCCGGTGTAATACCACGACCACACAGAAGACAGGCGTGAAATGGAAGCAATTCCGTGTTTCGTCTGATGAGTGTGGTGCCGGAGGCCTAATTTAAGTCCCTTTCTCTTTACCACCCTTTTCTTATGAGAGGATGGAATTTGACGATGGAGGAGATGCATAGGAAGAGGAAATATCCTCTTTATGTGCGTCTCCTCCTCCGTCGGATAAAGGTAGGCAACGCATCTGCGATTGCGGATGTCTATGGGCAGCGGTTGCTTCGCCATTTTGGCGGATTCATGTGGCCGCTTGCTCGTTTGCCACCTTATGTTATTAAAAAAAAATAGATGGGCTTCATTAATGAGAAATAATATCTCTTACAGATGTTTACAAAATAATGAATTTTTATATTTTCATCAAGCAATGCAAGTAGTTAATATTTTTATTAAGGCTAACGAGATATTTAAATATGCACATTTTAATTGAAATGTGGAAAAATGTCACAATTCAGTATGAAGTGTGTTCTCGGACCCTAACCTTGT